CAACCCAACCCAACCTTATGGGCATCTCATACAATTTCATCATGAAGTAGACAAATGATGATGACCAGCCGATCAGAATTCCTCTTGATTACCACTTCACGTAGACGAATAAACGATACAACAACAAATGAGAGCTAGTTATCATCAACACCTTGAAGAACCGACCCGAAAGAGCAGCGGATCAGTTACATACATTGAACTTGATATCATAGGTGAAGTATAGTGATCTCGAGCGACATATATACATTTTTTATACGGTATAAGAAAACGAGAGAAATTTTTGGTAGTGAGATGTGATGGGGGGATGTTGAAGTTAGAAGCAAGCATGGGCTCTAAATGGGTGGAATTATTAAGGTAAAGAGAATACCTTGGAGATGTACCCATCTTACATTTCACTCTTTTTTTTTTTCTTTTTGCAATATTTCTAGTTAATATTAGCTTTTATCATGAAGTCAAATTGGAGGAATTGGGTGGTAATTTTTGGGCCTTTCAAATGGGGCAATGAGATTGAAAAGTCTCAACCAACATGCACTATACTCTAAACACTACTACCTAAGGCCAACATACTTGTGTCGTGGTAAATCTCTTGTCTCCACAAATAAGAGAGTTTCATATACAAACTGGCTAGCTAGCTCCAAATCGAATCTAGCTCCCAACTTTATGAAGAAAACAATGTACTATTAGCTACATAATCATTCCATGGCAAGACTCCAAAAACAAGAATATTTCTCAACCTCGTGTGCTGCCTAACTCTAATTAGTAATTTTGTGACCTAGTTAGTGATCATCAGTACTATTAGTTCCAACCAACACGTGGTTGGCAATGTAGTTTTTAACTTATTGAAAGATGGGTAGTGATTCCATTCTTTTCCCCCCCGTTGAATTAGTGATTCCATTCTTGGTTTGAACATGTATTATTAATATATATAAAAAAACAACGATGAAAGGCCTAATTATCATGTCTAAACTTTCAAAAGATTTGATGATCAACAAACATATACACGGCTGATTATTATATTCGGGATTTTTGGATATTACAAGATGTTACTTGATGGAGAATGTTCTGCGAGTAAAAGCATGATTCACTAACAGCGAGTAAGATCGGGTTCTTTAAAGCCTTCACCGAGTTTGGTATTTAAACTCATCATATATCTGAAGTCTATGTATAAAAAAGCATCCGTAGCGTTAGATGCTTGATTATTCGACTTAAACCTTATCGAAAGGTGAGAATTTTCTTGTATTCGGGTTTTGAGTTGCAAGGATCATCAATCTAAGTATTTGTCAAGAAGGACAATTGTGTTGATTCAGTAACAATAAAAGATTGAGAAGTGCAAACTGTGATGAGATTAGAACTCTCTTGATCATAGTAAAACATGATGCAACTGACATTACCAAATATGCCAAGACCCATTTCAATTTCAAGACTCTACTGTAATTTTTTTTTTTTAATTTTATTAAAAATGCCCAGCCCAGCCCACAATGGCGAGGAACCAAATACAGCATTAAGTTGGTGGATGGATGGAAGGAAGATATATATATGGGTGTGTGACATAATTACGAAAAACAAGAGACCATGTTAACACGTGGGGATGAAGAATAAATATCAATCCATGCAAAGTTTATACACATAGCTATAATTGAGATCACCGGCCGATCGATGGAGGACACCCGAGGAACAATGATGATGAACAGTCATTGTTGTTCGACAAAATGTGAATTGGTCTAATGAATGAACGGGTTTCAATAACTCGAATTATTGAAAGACGTTCATTTATGGTACATAATTACTTCCCCATATGCGCCCTCTTGTACCATGTGTTTTAAGCCAACAGTTAATATTAAAAGTTGTGAGAACTTGAATACGTGACTTCAAGGACAAACCAGGTCCCTCTCGTCATGTCATAAATCAATAACCGGTCCCAACGACTCAAATTAGGATAGATCCATGTATGATACTTAATCACCTCTTTACAATTACAACCGAATGAATTCGCACGAGACATTTCAACAGAGTAGAGAAAATTATCATAGAGAATACTAATTGTTTGCTCGCGAGCATTCTGCAACGGTTGAATGAAAAACCCCAAGACGAAAAAACTGTTTAGTATTCTAAATCTATTTTCACAAAGGCTTTAAAGATCAAGAATTGATTGAAATCTTCCAATGAGTGAATATGCGACATTTCGAGATAGCTAAATCAAATCATCAATTTCGGTCGTGTCGAATCTGAAGATGAAAAGTCAACTACCAAGCTTGCTCTATGCATCAAAGTGATCCATGTCTGTTTAAGGTTCTCTGAAAATCGTCTGGTTTCACTCGTTCTAAATTATCCAAATCCGAATTTGAACGGACCCAATCATTAAAAATATTAACAAAACTATTGATGTTTTGCTAGTGGTGACTCACTTTGGATAAAGTAGACGCCAAAGAAGGAATTTTTTCGAGGAAGGGTTTGATTTTGTGGGTGTTTTCTGGTCCGAATGTGGGCGGCATATTGTCCGGAGACGACGGCGACACGTGCGGCCGCTTCTCCGGTCGCCGTCGACCCACTGTCCGGAGGGTTTTTCTTAAGTATCCATCATTTTTAAGTAGCGGATCGAATCAAGCCACTGCAATTAAAAAAGGGGACGACCTTACCATACATACTACAACGATTAAGGTATGGAGAACAACTTTGTCCCACTAATTCGTTTTATTGGGAGAGGTTGAAGAAATAATCTTAATTAAACACATCTTTCTAGTACAAGTCTCACTCTAACGAAGCCTACTAATCCGTGAGCTTGAAGTTCGTACAACGGTCCACCATGCCAGCAGTTAATTCAGAGTTCGTAACGAGCTGATTTATCGTCCCATTGATTCGACTTGATGGGAGAAACTCAAGAATGTTTAACATTCCTCCCTCCCTTATAGAAGTGACTAAAGAGAGCTCTCCAAACTTGACTTTGAAAAAAAAAAAGACCATGAAACTTTACAAAGAACATAATGATGAATGAGGTCACAAATTGCTTAAAGTCTATGTGAACCAAACTGGTACTTTTGCTACAACTTTAGTATACTATACACATCATAATTATCCATAATTTAAGGGATAATTTAAACAATATGGATTGAATTGATCTTTACTCCTTTTTTTTTATCACATATATTTGTGTGTTGTTAACATCCTGTTGGGAAGGAAAGGGAGGAGACAAAATGGGCAATGTTGAGTTTCTAAGCAAAGTTCTCCATATACCACATAACATAAACAAGGCACAGAGGGGACATGTTTTCTTGTTTGGATCCTATATCCTATAATTATAATTTTATTAAAATAATAATTACAATCCATATAATATATACAGGTTGTTGGTGAGAGTTTGAATTGTTTAATAGAATTTTCTATGGAGACAACATTTGAACTTTTGTTTTAATTTATGTCTTAATATAATAGTTAATAACTATAAGTTTTAACACCATGTACAATATGACATTTTAAACCATCGAAGATTGATGGAGATGGTAAAGACCTAAATTTACATTCAGCGAGTCTTGTACCAGATTGACATTTATATAGTCCAATTCGTGGAACAATCGTCTTGCGCTTGTGAGTCTAATACTAAAGTTTTTTTAATGAATATCTAATACTATTTAACAAAACGTGATGTACACTATTTCCCTCCAAATTCATGAACCGTATTATTTTGTGTATATATATCTAGGTTTACATGCTTTTCTGTGTACTACGGATTATGACCTTATATATAATGTTACATGGAATGCACAAAGTTTAATTTTGAATAATATGATACGAACAGAATTTATAGGATTTGGTCTAGTGATACATCGTCAGTATAAAATGACATTGTTGTAATAAGAGACCATATGTTTTAAAGATGACACGCATCTACAAAGTCTTATCTTATTGAGAGATGATGAAGTATTTTTAGACTAGACACGAAGTTCGTGGACGGTTCAGGTCATGGCCATAAGGCCCACGGAGAAGAGAGATCGAGTTTGCGGCTAGGGGAGAAGCATCGCCCCTACGTGTATGTCAAGGCAAACGAGGCCCTGGGCTCATGATGATATGGGGCAGTACCCGCACTAGAAAAATATATGTGTTTCGAGCCATCTAGGAATGTGTGCAAGTTAACTGGAACCGATGTCAGAACCCACATAAGATCGATATGAAAGATCTTAGCAGCAGACAGAGTGAATTCTTAGGACAGAATCCATCGAAATATCTCGTCCCCATCACACACACACACACACACATACTTTGCGATTGCATGAAATTCATAATACGTGATTTTTCGTACTCAACTATCTGAATTATCAATAACCGCGTATTCTCAAAATTACCGGAGACAGTTTCTCGTCACTAACCGAACCCAGGAAATAAATAAATCCTCGAAACATAAGAGTAATTGTGTAGAAATTCGAAACCGAAAAGTTCGTGGTTGATAGCGAACTCATCCTCCTCTTCCCAATTTTGAGTACTATCTTTTTGTGTATTAGTAGAATATCCGTTTCATATTAACAACAAACGAGATGGTGATCAGCACGATGCTAATGGAACGAACGACTAAATCAGTAGAGCGTATCGGCCGCAGCCTAAGCAACAGTCTTCAGCACGAGCAGGGCAGCAGCAGAATCGCCGGAAAACAGAGGGGGAAAAAAGTTCAATTTGGGCGGCAAAAGAAAGAGACTTCTTCTTCCTCTTCCTTCCTCCCTCTCAACTGTGGTTCCCGCTTCAATGGGGAAACCATTAATAGCAAACCAAACTAAACTACTCTTCTTCCCCCCTCTAATTCTAGAGAGAGAGAGAGGAAGGGATAGAAAGAGAAACGGGTCGGGGAAAAGTGGAGCAACGATGCAGACACCCTATCTACTGTTGCCTCCACCTTGTCCCCTGCCTCTCCCTCCTCTGTTTTTTCTTCCTTTTTCTCTTTATTGTTTGCCAATTTCACCTCTCCCCCTTTAAATTCTCCCCCAAAAAAGCACCCAATCTTCCCCAAACTCTGTCTCCTTAAATTCACAAACCGCTTCTTCCTTTCTTTCTGCACCGATCTCACTCCACTGCCCACTAGGAAACCAGAAGAAGAAGAAACAGGGTAAATTTTCTTTTCCCCATGGAGCTTCAGCTGGGTCTCGCTCTTCCCACCTCCAATAACAAATCCAGCAACAGCTTCATCTTCGGTAATGATAATAACGATATGGGTAATTACACAAACGACGAGGTGATCGTACAATCATGGCTTCCGGTCGCCAACAATGGAAGCGATGGAACAGAGTGTTCTGCTGTCAACAGCAGGAAACGCTGCCGTTTCATCGAGTCTTTCGAGGACGATCATCTTCCCACAAATCTCAAAACGCTACCCTTATTGCAATTGGCCGGAGGAGGCGGCGACGACAACGACGATAATTGCTCTGTCGTTCTCAACAAGTACCGATTCCCCTCAATTCCCCTGTTTTTCTTTTTTACATTTCAGTGAATTGTGGATTTTGACGATTTGGGGTGTTTCTGAATTTTGTATCTTTGAAGCAGAATTGAGACGGAGGATGAAGAAGAAGGAGATGAAAACGACGGCGACGGGATTGTGGGGTGGCCGCCGATTAGTTTCCGGCGGAAGAAGAAGAAGAAGATGTGGAATCACAGAGATCAACTGATGACGATGATGATCGTCGATGGGTCTTCTCCTTCTTCCGAGGAATGTGGAGATGGACCCACGTCAATGTACGTCAAGGTGACGATGGACGGCGTCGGGATCGGAAGGAAAGTTGATCTTGCAGTTCACGATTCCTTCCCTTCCCTTCGACGGCAACTCTTCGCTATGTTCGGATTACGTAAGCACAAATGGAAAAAAAAAGAACAAATATTTGACTCCGCCAGCGTAATCACAGTGATGAGACCATTTCACCGACGACTCACTCTGTTTTTTTTTGTCCTGTTTTTTGTTTCGATGTAGCGGAAGAGAATCCCTGGGACGGCGGCGCCGGCGAGTATCAGCTTACGTATCAGGATTCGGAAGGCGACTGGCTATTAGCTGACGACATCTCCTGGAGGTATATATTCTATTCCAATACCTCCTTTTTTTTTTTTATATCATCTCCGAGCTTAATAGTCATCAAACCACACCCATAAATCGAAATTCGTTAGAATGTGACGAAATATTATCATTCTCGCGTATTAACTCTAATGCATCTCATCATATCTTTCATTCGTACCACTCTCACAATCTTTTACTGATAAGAATAGGCAGCGTGTTTACGAATATCACGTGGACGGACGAGTGATCTCGTCGTCTCGACCTATCGATAAACTATGATGTCGTTTTATGTACGCAACGTCAATGCGTGTATCTTAGGTACCAGATCACTCGTTCACGTGATCCAACTTACCCCAGTGCCGTGACATTAAATTACATAGCCATAGCTTGCTACCTAGTTAAATTTCAAGTTGGTGGTGGTGGCAGAGAATTGACGATAACAGAGTATGGTGGTTTGCAGGAGCTTTATGGGGTCTGTGCAGCGATTGAGGCTGATGAGGAGCAGCAGCAGCAGTGGCAGCAGCTAAGTGGATGAAGATATAGATAGATAGATAGATCGACCTCTAGGGTCAAGATTTGGTCAAAGTTTTGCTCATAGTAGTTTCTGATCCCTAGTTAGAAAATGAAGGTTGGGATTTTTTTGGGGTTTCTGATCCATAGTTAGAAAATGTAGTGTAGCAAACCTAAGTGTGTGTATAGATTATGTAGTCTAATTTGTATGGGATTATTATACAAATATCTAATAATTATATAACTATATGAATTAGAAGCCATCAAGTACGGGTAGTATTAGTATTGGTCTTAAATTTGAAGGTTTTAAGTTTAACTTTCTCTTAAGTAGCACGGACGTGTTTGTTTAGGAAATCCATGAGGATAATAATGGTTTGAATTATTTTATAGTTTGAGTCACGATTCACTTTCGGACGTTTGTAATACTTCTCCTTCCACTCTCTGATTGGATATGTTTGAATCGCCTTTGGCTACAGAAGAATGTCAGCATGCGACTTTTTATCGAGTTAGAATAATAATATTGGTATACATAGTAAAAGTCCATTTTGTAGTTTGTGCACGTAAAGTACTCGTATATGTAATGAATGTGTGTTAAGACTCTCGTTCTCGTTCTATTTGTCGAGATGTTTAATGCATGGCGTAAAGTAATGAATGTGTAGTTGTGCACGTAAAGTACTCGTATATGTAATGAATGTGTGTTAAGACTCTCGTTCTCATACTTATATAACCATTTTTGAATAATTACCTCTTTCGCTTCCTTCACCAATTGCAAGTCACATGTACAAAATTTGAATGGACAGCAGCAACGCAAGTTCCCGTGGGAAATCCTAATAGGTACCTGCGGAAGTAAAAGAGTCTCTCCAAATCCCAATTTTATATCCTCCTTTCAAAATGCTTGTCTTCCGAGTTGGTGATCTGACAACTCGAATTTGGATGTGGCAAATTGGATTTCGGATTAGAAAGTTAAGAGTTTTGACCCTACCAACAGTCAAAGTTAATAAAGTTAATGAAAATGAAACTTTGTGTTTGAATTGTTATATTGAATAATTGAAGATATTTTTTTTATAGTTCAAGTGTTGTAGTGAAATCTAACTCTATTAATAATAATGTTATTGTTAGCCATTTTAGGGAGTTGGGCAGCCAGTTAGGGGTTGACTAGGAGTTGGGTTATTTGTAGGGTTTTGTGCCTTTTTCTGCATAAATATATACTTAGCTCTTTCTTTCTGAATCAAGAAGAGAATGATGAAACAATTATCAGTCATCTCCCATACCCTAATTTCATCCATTTCTCTCTAAAATTGGTTGTCGACCACTTCTTTCTGTTACCTCCCAAATCTTCCTAAATTGTATCCTAATCCTCTCTAATTCTCCTCTTAAATCTCTAAATCTACGCTCAATTTCTGTGTTTCTTACTGCGGTATTTTATTGATTTGTTTAAGTTTTCCATTGAATTTCTTAAGAGTTTAAATTCATACCAAATCAAATTTGAGTCAAAGACAAATTGAATTGAATGCATTTCCATCTCAGATTCAATTTTTTTTTTTATCTTTCTATATCAACTTGATTCCTAGTTATATCACCGTTCGTTGATTCTACATATCGAATCAAATGTATATTCATCTTAAAATGTGTTTCCTCAATTTGTTAATATGATCTCAATGTTTATCCTAACTTCTAGTTGTGAGTTGTATAATGACTAGTATTATAGTGGGTGGTCAGTGGTGGAGGTGGGGTGAGAGGAGTAGGAAGTGTTTTGATGCCTACTGCCCTAACCAAGCCAATAACAATAAGTATAAAAAGGATTATATATATATATATATATAGAATGTGGTGAATGATAATTGAATTTACTAATCCTATGATTAGAACCAGCCAAAACCTTGTTAAAAAAAGAACCAGCCAAAACCTAATTAAAAACAACAAAAATAAGAAAGAAACTATAATACTAAATTGTTTTTATCTAATGAATATGGTGGGTGGGTTGGGAGTAGGTTACAATCCGATCGAAATTGACATGTCAATGATTCGATTCATTTTTCTGTATTTTTATATGTTATCAAGTATTATCATCGTGTTATATTGGTAATATATGTTTAAATTTTTTAATAAATATATCGAAATTAAATCTCATTTTCAAGAATTAGTGAACGGTTACTTATAATAAAGTGTTTAATTTGGTTTTACGAATCAATTTCCAGCTCAGCAACTTCCCATGTGCCACTTGATGGGGCAGATTATTAAAAGTAGATCCTAATATTGAAATGTTTCCGACTGTCGTAAATAAATTAATTATATTTGTAGATCTTAACAAACACATCCTACAATAAACTTAAAATTGCTGCAGGGAGAAATTTTATAATGCTTGTTAGTATCAGTATTTTTGTTTATAAAGTTTTTTTTGTATGTTATAAACTATAAACTGCACTTGTACATTTAACGTTATTGTATAGATTCAGAGCTTGTAGCTACTAGCTATACCTTTTCGTAAATTTATGATACAAACCATACATGTATATTAAGTTTATAGTACAAATTTACTTTTTGTCTTATACATTTTCGTACAAATTCTCATATAATACACACTAAACATGTACCATTAGTATTACCGTACAAATACTTCAACTTGTACCTATACATTTTTATACCTATTCAGTACAAACTAAACATATACATTTACCATTACTGAACAGATTCAACTTGGTTCTTGGAAGTACCAATGCTTCCAAAACCGTAGTAGTTGAGCACTACATGGGTCCTCTCTCCTCTGTATAAAATATGTATACACCAGTTGTTGGTTCAAGCTGCCATTCATCAATCCACCACTGCAAAAAAAAACAGAGGAAGCAGAGACAGGGAAGAAACTTCAACAATGGCGATCAGCACATCATTATGGAATTGGATGGAAGAAGAAACACTCACTCTCAGTCCACTCTTCCTCCCCACTCTCATCATCATCCTCTTCCTAACCATCATCCTCCTGAAGAAAAAGCTGGCCCACACTACTCCCGGCCCAACTCTGCCACCAGGCCCAACGAAGCTGCCCATAATCGGAAACCTCCACCAGCTGGCCTTCTCCTCCCTGCTCCCCCACCACCGCTTCCGCGACCTGGCCCAGCAGCACGGGCCCGACGGCCTGATGCACCTCCAGATCGGCGAGACCTCGAACGTCGTCGTTTCATCCCCCGAAATCGCCCAATTGTTCATGAAAGCCCACGACCTCAACTTCGCCACCAGGCCCATCGTCCAGTCCGCCAGCATCATCCTGTACGACCACAGAGACGTCGCGTTCGCGCCCTACGGCGAGTACTGGCGCCAGATGCGGAAGATCTGCACGCTCGAGCTCATGAGCACCAAGCGCGTGGGCTCGCAGCGGCCCATCAGGGAGGAGGAGGTCCGTAAGGCGATGGTGGGCTCGATCCGGCCCGGTGAGGTCGTGAACTTGGGCCGGATCCTGGGCTCTCTGGTCTGCAAGATTATCTGGCGGGCCGCGTTCGGCGGGGTGGAGGCCCGTGAGATGGAGGAGGCGTTTTTCTCGGTCCAGCATCGGATCGTGCAGGTACACAGGAGGCAATTTCAATCCAATCCATTAATCCATTAAAAATCTCCAACTAATCCAATTCATTTGATCCAAATCCAATTGGATTGGATCCATGGATTATTGGCAAATTACAATTTAGAACCTATAATTTTTATTTTTTACATTTTGGTACCTAAAATTTATTTTTTTATACAAAAATAGCACTGGAAAATTACGTTTTGGTACCTAAAAATTTTAATTATGACATTTTAATACCTAAACTTTTCACATTTTACATATTGGTCCTTGGTTGAGGATGTCATTTGGATTCATGGATAATCCACCAATCTACTTGATACAATCCATGAATCCGCCAATCCATTAGATCCAATTCATTTGATCCATAGATCCACCAATCCAATCCATTTGCCACCTCTACGTGCAGGCCCTTGGAGAGCTCAGTCTGAGGGACGTTTTTCCGTCCAGCTGGGTTATGAAGATGGTCGCCGGCAGGAATGATAGACGGTTGAAGAAACTCCATGCTGAATCTGATACCATACTCCAAGAAATCATTGATGCACATGTATCCAGAAGGAGATCTGACGTTGATCGTGCAGCTGGTGGTGGTGATGATCAGGATCTCGTCGACGTGCTGCTGAATTTCACTCATGATCAGGCCGTCGCCGCCGGCGGGTTCTCTGTCACCGATTTTGAGATCAAAGCAGTCATTACTGTGAGTATAGTTTTACAGTATTTGGTTCCAATAACTTGAATTGTTAGGAGATGTTCAACAATTTTGATCTTATATTACGTACTGACACTTCGTATAGTACAACCAATCCATACGTGTTCTTACTAAATTTTCAGTTAATGTAATGTGTTGCAGGACATATTCTTCGGTGGGACCCATACGTCCTCTGTCACTATAGAATGGGTCATGTCTGAACTGATGAGGAACCCAGAAGAGATGGAAAAGGCACAGAAAGAGGTCAGACGAGTGTTTGACGGAAAAGGAAAGGCAGTAGATGAAGCGAGCATCGATGAGCTGCACTACATGAAGCTGATAGTGAGAGAGACTCTGAGATTGCACCCGCCGCTTCCGTTGTTGGTTCCGAGAGAGAGCCGAGAGACGGTCGTGATCAAAGGGTACCAGATACCTGCAAAAACGAAGGTGGCGATAAATGTGTGGGCGATCGGTCGAGATCCCGCGTACTGGATCGAGCCGGATAAATTTATGCCTGAAAGATTCGTCAACAGTCCCGTTAACTATAACGGCGATGACTTCCAGCTCCTCCCATTTGGAGCTGGGAGAAGAATGTGCCCTGGCGTGAAGACCGGGATGGCTATCGTCCATCTTGCAGTCGCGAATTTGCTCTATCACTTTGATTGGAAACTTCCAAATGAAATGAAACCCGAAGATCTCGACATGACTGAAGTGTTTGGGATTGTAGTTGGAAGAAAAAATGATTTGCATCTCATTCCCACCCCTTACCGTGCACCCTGAATAG